ATATATATAGTTGTCATTTCCTTTAAACTTCAAGCAGCATTTGAAAATTCGTCACAAAGCAGCACATAACCTTAAACAAGTCGTTCATGAAGCTTAACCTGAAACGTTTTTCCAAGCTGTTGTCCTGTTGCGCTCCAGCTTCACTACAGAAACGGTGTAAACACACAGGAGTTCTCTGATTAAGAGTAATATGTCTGAGGTGACTGCAGCCCTCACCTGACAGATTAAGATAAGCTTATCACTATTAGATCATCTGAAACATTTAAATGAGTGCTGACGGGCGTCTTTACCCTTTCCGTTGAAATGGCAAGACATTTGAGCTTTTTATTTCCCTCAATGGAGTCAGCGGCGTTGACCTTTAACTCCAGCCTCCCTCTCCCTGTCTCTCTCCTCCTCTCCCTCCCTCCTCCCTTAGGCCAGACTTACCCTTTGACAGAGGATCAGCGGTAATGTTGCTCTTCAACCTAACACTCAGCGCAGACAACAGTAACATGAGCCGTGTGCTGAAGAGCTGAGTTTTGCACCTGTCTTGTAATGTGCCGCTCAATAAAGAGACAAAGTATCGCGTTGGCTGATACGCCTTTGTTACACCGTATTCCGTGACCCAGACCCTAAACCCTAACCACTTAACCACTCAGGAAACTCAACGAATTCATAACGGAGTTTGGTACTGGTTCACAGATTTCGGTTTCCTCCCGCGAGCGTAACAGACAACTGCGGAGGGAAGGTACCTTATTTCATAATTTGACATTTTATCAATTAGCCTCAGCTGGGAGATTAATGCAAAGTTGTTGCTTGTTTTTTGTTGTTGATGTTTTAAATTGCTGTTTAATACAGAACTTTAATGAGCTGTGGCGAAAACTGCTACCTATAAACTCTCTAGATATAGCCTAGAAAAACACACAAATACAAGTACTTCTATGCAAATATCCTAAAAACTAACTTAATAAATGTTTAAAAAAAGAATATAGCAATAGGTGTATGCAGACGTTAAATGCCATATGACCAAAAGACAAAGTCTCTTTGAAGCTTTACTTGCAAATAATTCATAATTAATTATAAAATCACACCACAGCCTACCACAACTGTAGCAAAGAATACAATTTTCAGTGAAGAACACATCACACATGAGATATGTTCATTTTCTGCAAAACTATCATTTTTAAATTTAATGCTCTAATATTAAATTTGGCTAAAATTAATAAAGATCCATTACCATTCATGCTTGCTCAGGACATGTTTTGTCCTGCTGCAGATATTAGTTTTCAGATTTATTAAAAATCCACATTTTATGTTCAGATGCGTTTGTAAATTGAACAGTCCAGCATTCTGCATTTCTCAGTTATCACCAGCGGTGGAGGAAGTACTCAGAACAGTAAAACTACCAGTACTCATATGTGAAAATAGAATAAAAGTCCTGCATTTCAAATCCCTATTTAAGTATAGACATCATCAGCAAAACTAACTAGCCTATACTTAATGCATCAAAAGTAAAAGTACTCTTTCTCCTTTTTTAAATAGGTATGTCAATGTGTAATTTTACTGTTGTAGCTGGAAGAGGTGGAGCTAATTTCAGCCATACAGTTCAGTATAGTTGAGTCCAGTGGTTTCCAATTGACAGACTCGGCCCCCTCCAATAACATTTGAAGGGGTAGTGAGGTGATTAATGGGAGAGGAACAAATTCTGCTACACGAATTTGTATTCATTGTTATACTTTTTTTTCTAATCTTTGTTGTTTTAATGAAATTGGGGCTGTTTAATTTTCTATTTTTATAATTTTGGGGCCTCAGACTGAAACCATTTGAGAAGTTTAGGGGGAAATGTCTCCTACAACTCTTGGACATCAAAACACTGACATGATTGTTTTTTTTGCAAAGGGTTAGATGCTCAAAAGCACTGGAACAACTGGTTTTATCTATTGTAATACAGTGTAATAATCAGCTTATATAGGCTTATGTGTTTTATTTAAAATCTCAGTCTTTAAAGTAACCAGCTGTCACATAAATTCAATATAAATTCAATATAAAGTGTGGGCAAAGCTGAGTAAATGTGAAGACACTAACTCTCTGATGGTGTTACCTTAAAAGAGGATATTATGTTTGTGTGTCAAAAGTCCACATTAGATCAGGTTTCTCTGTGTACACCAGGCCGTCTGAACGATGTGGCACCCCGGCCAGCGCCCCCTGCTCTGGGGGCCGACAGCCCAGACCCAGAGGCCCCTCTCTCACTTCCCTCTCTCACTTTTCTCTCTCCTCTCTCTCATCCTCCTCTGATCCTTATCCAGCCTGGCGTGCCCTTTGCTTTATATGGCCTGCTGGCCTGCTCCACAGCTACAGCCCCCTCCATGCCACCACAGCTCTGAAGTACAGTTTCACCACACACCATCACATCATCAGCGTGTGCTCCAGGAGACAGCTGCATCAAATTGAGCATGTTTCTCCAGTTGGCGGCGGTGAGTGTTTTCCAGCCCTCGGTGCAGCCAGGCCTGTAAGCAGCAAAACACAGCGTTACAGTTTGTGTTATTATCATCCAAGAGAAAATAGAAGTCCTCTGTGAGGTGGCAGTGAGGCCGAATTGCATGGTTTTTGAAAAGCAAATTGACTGTACACAACACACATTATATGCTTTGAAATCTTGCACAAGAACAACATAAAACATTTTCCACCGGCCGTGTTGGCAGCCGTGATCTGTTCCATTTTGTTCTGTTCGGATACAGATGATCTTTTTTTAAAAAAGTAACAAGAATGAGACCTAAAAGAAAAAGACATTTAACACCGATCTATATTTTGCAGCTGCATTTCTATTGACAGTATTCAGTTTGAAAAGCAGTACATTCTTGCTTCAAAAACACACATATGATCATTATTAACCAGTCATATTTCCTTTGCAGTCTCCTGTTTTTAATTTTGAAATAACCCAGGTCTAATCACCATTTTATAACAGCCATTAGTCCCTCAAGTGTGATTTTAATGGCTCTGGAGTCTACCACTCTCAGTAGGGGTTTACAGTCAATGAAAGTGGAGACAGTTTGACCTAGTTCATTACACTGGAGGCAGTGAGACAGGCAGGCAGAGACAGGAAGGCATGCATCTCCTCTGGGGCATTTCACAGCTCTCTTTACATTAAGAGGTCTTCATAGTGACTCAGTGAAGTATGGTGACCTCAGCTGACTTACATTTGAGACGATGCACACACTCATATATGAATATTGGTTTACAGTAAACATATAGACATTTATATATTTAAATATATTTCTTTTGTTTTTTTATTTCTGAAATGAGACAATAGTGGCACAGTCAAATAAAATGTACCTAAATGAAGCTGGCAATATTAAACCACTGAGACTTGTCACAGTCACACAGATCTGAAAAACCAACGGGAACTTGTCTCTGGTCTGTGAGAGGGCCCTCCAATGGTCAAAAGAGTGCAATGCGCCTTAGGTTCAAAAGTCACATACATTTCCAGTAGTTAGTTATTCATCATCAGAACAGTGTATAGCTTAAACCGTCTTGCACCATGCTTCTTAGCAAGCAGCCAAAACGACCCTCTTGCAGTAATTTCATTAGCTGGCATTACTCTCAGATCATATTGCGCTGGCAAACTAACTGCATGTTGGAAGTTGAGCAAAGCATAAAGGTGCAAAGTAGATTGTGTCACTACTTCTAAATGTAATAAAAGCAAAATTGATTCCCTCTCTCCTTGTAAACCCACAGAAATTTGATTTGTCCTCTTTGAACGCATTTGTAATTTGAGCCTGTTTAAATAGAGCGAAGAAGCCTTTTCATCTCCTCTTGCCAAAATTTTGCAGTATTTAAGTATTCAGCATTCTAACAAAATCTCATTGCATACTTGCTTTCCTTAACTGGCAAGCCAGCTTAGCCGGATCGTGCTAGCTCTGGCATTAATAATTCACTGTACATAATAAGTTGATGCTGCAGAGTTTGTTCTCATTGATAGTATTAGCCGAGGTGAGCATTCTTGGCCAGACTTTGTGACGCCAGCAGACCGGCATAAAGTGGGCTTTAATTGCCCATAATCTCTGCCGTTCTCTTTCCTCTCAGTGCAAGTCAACAGCATATAGCCTACAAATGCCAGACCTTAGCAAGGCATTCTTAGCTCCATATCAGTGCAAGGACTCACAACCAGGAATGCTTGGAAGAGATTTTCGACTCAGAACTCAAAGGACTTTAGAGGGTTTGGGGATTTTTTTCTCACTGTATTTGGATTTCAAGTCAGCACACTCATATTTGTATCCAGAAGTAAAGAGCTTTACACCTCGGGCACATTGTTTTCCTTATTAAGACCAACTTAACTGATGTTGCCGCACCTGAAAAGCTTTAGTACAAAGAAAAGAACACAAAGAAAAAACAATGCAGTCACTCTGTTTAAGAAATGCCAGCCCAGTTGCCAGAAGAAAATGTTGACACAGTACATTTCTGCAAATCAAAATGAATCACTTTAGGAACATTTCATACATATCATATCAACGATTAAGTGAGAAAGTTTATGAACAGACTTTGTCATCAGGAGGTGGAGGGGATGGTGGATGGAGTGACACCTAGGCAAGACATAATCCAAGCTGCAGACCACAGTTCGACACCAAAAAACAACAAAACCGATTATTTTTTAGTGAGTCATTGTTGCATTTCCAGCACCTTTCTAGCCACCAAATGTGGGTGTTTTTAGTGACTCATTGCTGTGTTTCCTCCAAGACCAGTGCCACACAAATTGCAATTTATTTCCGAGACATTGCTGCATTTCCAGCGGAGATTGTGCCACCAGAACCCGTTATTTTAAGCCAAAACATGATCTTTTCCTCACCATAACAAAGTAGATTTTGTGCTTAAACTTTCCCACACATCAACCACAGCATTACTGAAATGTTAAATTTCAATGTATTTGCATGTAATGTATCTGTGTGTTGCAGAAATGTACAGTGCCAACATTTATTCTAGAGACTGGGTTTGAAATGGTTACAGTGCCACTTTCTTTCCACATCTGTTGTTTCGGTCTATGATGTGCATGTTTATCTTCTTCATTATTAAGAATGCATTCAGAGCCTGCTGTAACCTAGTTTCTTCATCATTCTGCCTCATGTATTTGTGTCAGTGGGCTACTCAGTTGAAAAACACAGTTTGTTTTAGTTATGGTACAATACATGAAATTACTGTCAGCCTTGATGTAGCATAAAGTCATTTTAGAATCTCTGAATGGACGAGTCAGACCTTTTTATCTCCAGTCAAATGTTAAAGTCTAAGGATTTTGACCACAGGTTCTTTTATTCCTCACACAGGATTACAATGACTACACCATATGAGATGTCCAGATGGGACTGCTGCACCTGACTGTGCAGGAGACTCGCTGCAAAATGATGCAGTAAAAACTCAAACATTAGCACTTGCTTTCTCCTTCTTTGCCCTGTCTGTCAAATCTGACTGATAAATTAATTATCTTATTTATTCTCTAATAAATTCATGTCTACATACTCTGATAGCCCCGACAAATAATGTTAAAACTGTAAATCATTATCACTGGAGTTCAAACGGGCCTCATTAAAAAAATCTGTCCTTTTTCATATATTTATTTTTCGGATAATAATTTCAGATAAACATCATTTTCAGTTGTATAAATGTTTACACACTAATCCGTCAGGTTAAATGAAAATAAATTCATACACAAATGTCGTCTAATGAATATCAGTGTGTATCAAACTCATAAAATCAATTTAAAATGAAAAAGACCCTATTATTACAATTCACTTCATCTTATTTTTAAGGGTTACATTGAATTTATTAACTCGAAAAAAAAGTCTATAAAAAGGTGGTCAAGTCTTAAAAACTAATCAGGCGAGTTTATCGCTGGTTAAAACCCGAGACCACCACTGCCAATTTGTCCACTTATAAGGCCTTATGTGTGTGGAGGATTTCTAACGGGAATGTCCGTTTGTTTAACCTCTTCACGGTACGTTAACCCCTGTCAGGACGCACTCGTCAGCGCAGTACAAAGGGGCTGAAAAGCGGAGACCTTTCCCCCCTCGGCCGGCCCTGTGCTCCAACCCGAGCCTGCTCTCCTGAAAAGTTCCCAGTCTCCTCTGAAACATTACTGTAAAATAAGGGAAACGAAAAGCAACGGCAGAAAAATGTCATGATTATAAACTCACTCAAAAAAGGCAACTGGCATCTGGAATTTCCAAAGCACTTAATTGTGAATTGCGTAATGATGCCTCCTGCATTTGGTGAATTCCCCCTCTCAGCCCTGCAGGACCTGCAGTTACTCTCTCCCCTCTCTCGCTTTGGTTTTTGCCTTTGTAGAGGAACATGCTAATGCGTCCTAAGCGAGGTGTAATATTTCTTCATAATTTCTTACCATAGTTGAAAACACGTGGCTCGGGGACTTGCTGACCTCCTGTAATAAGCTTATGGCAAAATAGATCCGTGTGCGCAAGGAGCCAAAATCTGCCCGCAGTGTTCAGTCAGGCTTTGAAAAAAAAAAAGAATCTGGTCATATGGCAAATACAAAACGAGAACTTTGGTTGAACCAGGCTGTTAAGTGTTCCGTCAAACTTTGGCACAAGTCCAAACACAAACAAATCAATCAGTGACCCGATAGATGCAGCTCACGCACAGGGACACACAACGTACATTTCCCTGTAGGTTACAGTAACTGGTGTATTGTCGTGGTTTACTTGTTTATTTTACCCTCGTTTGAAATAGATCATTTACCAATAAACTATGTCATTGCGGTTTTAAATTAATCCACATAAAAAGCCAAAGGGCTGGTGTTGCGTATTTCTCACTCTTGTGACCTCATGTTAGCCAATAGTCCTTCATTAAAACTCAGATTAGCAGCATATTAGTGTGACCACAATTACAAATCTCATTTGCACCACAATAAGAAGCCGAATCCATCAAAGCAGATCACATGAGTTTTCTCCCCGCTGTCAGATTGTCTCAAAGCCTGTTTATTCAACCTCGCGCCCTCCGGTCGCTCTGCGGTGCTCCGGCTCGTGGTGTGTTAACACTTATACTACATTTGTTTTATTGGAGCTGCTGCAGCTATAAAGAGCCGCACATTAATGTATCGTCCCTCTCTTTCTCACCTCACTTATCTCATGCTCAGATGGGCGCCTATCACATTAAACGATCGCGTGAGAAAGAAGAGGAGGGCACGAGAAGCGCAGAGAGTCGACGGGGTCGAGCGCGCGAGCTGAAGGCCCGCTGTCAATTAGCTCGAGCGGAGTAAATGAGGATGGTGGCACAGGCTGTCACAGCATCACCACACTGTTCATATGACTTTATTTATCCAAGAGAGTCTCACACGGTCACTTCATACACAGGTAAACAAACAGAACAACAAGTGTTACAGTCTTTATTTACTGCGCATGTTAGCAGAGTGTGACATCACACTGTTTAGAGGTTGTTTTAATGACATTCACATCTTTAAGGACTTATAGAAGTATATTTACAGTTTATTGTGAATCTTTGGTACAGTGTATGTGCATTTTACCAGACATATGGACATAAATAATTATTTCCTCAATAAATTGTAATTGTTTTCCAATTTTTAATAGTACTTCCGTTTTATTTTACCACTCTGCAGCACATATGTAATGTTGCCCATGCAGACTAAAGGACATTTAAATTAGATGTTGTTGCCATTCTTGTAGCTGATCACCCTTTTTCCTATTTCCTTCTCTTCATATTAGAATGGCTTTCCTTTTCATGCACAAAAAAGATGCAAAAATGACTTCAGGAAAAAACAAAAATAACCACAATGCTGCCATTTGTAATTTGTTGTTTTATTTTTTAATGAAACACTGTTGAGGGGTGAGAACAAAGAACCAGATAGGCTAAAATAAACTACATACACGCACATACACACAGATACACATATGCACATATACTTACTTATATACATTAATTGACTGTAATTTTCAATGTATAGTATTAAATATGGACCCCAGGAAGACCAGCTCTGCTTAAGGACATAGCTAATAGGGATCACAACAAATAAATTCAACTCAGTATCTTCAGCATTCATTCACAAAAGAGCTTTACTCAGGCTGTGGTTAATGTGTGACACGCACAGTGTGAACATGACATGAACACTTCCAGCTAACCCTCCAGCAATAAGACAGCTCATAGTGTAAAACGTGTTTCAGTTCAGCCTAAAATTAAAGTTGTGTACATGTGGCCTGCATCTCAATGCAAAAAAATATGTTCACATACTTTGTATTTCAGGTTATGTGAAAAAAATCAGTAAAGCACAGTAGAGAAGAAAAGTAACACACTAAAACCTTTTGTTTGTTTGTTTGTTTGTTTGTTTTTTGTCCCACATGGAAGATGACTTTGTGAGCTACACTTTCTCTTAAAAAAAAAAAAAAAAAAGAAGAAGAAAAGCGAAATCCAAAAGCAAAACATCATGACAAGTAAGCCTCTGGGCAGTTGGATGAAAACAACTGTGGTAAAAAAAAAAATAAAAAATACACATACTTCTAGTAAAGCCCAGCTAAGTGAAATCCAAATGATTTACATCATGGAAAAACAAATGATGACGTTCGTGCAAAATAAAATACAGAACACAGCATCCAAGATTGTGGTGGTGTTGGTCTCCTCTAGTGTACAACTGGTATTAAATGACTTGTATAACTGGATGGCAAAAGCCTAGACTCTTTTAAACTTTGTAACCAACAACAAAAAGGAAGATAAGAAGTTGCAAACTGTAAATTAAAAAAGCCAACCAAACAATCAATCAATAAATAAAATGATGAATAAAAGTTAAAAGTGGAAAGTCAGTCCAGGTTCCCCCTGCTTCTTTTTTTGTTTTTATTAAAACATGCATGTCAAGACAACTTGAAAACATATAATTACTATTATTCAGTGAATTTAACTTTTATAATAATTGAGTTTGTTCAGTTAATATCAAAGATTTCATGATTAATGTAGACCCTGGCAGTCTAATCCCAGCGGGTGCATAGGTTTCGTTGCAACATTGGAGGAAACAAGATGTATTTGTGGGTTCTGCACCAGAAACCTTCAAGCATCAAACACATTTCCTGCATTCTGGTGAATTTTTGTGCACCAGTTTGTGCCTTTTCTGCATTAATAAATGGTTTAAATGTCTTTCATTTTGTCTAAAACAAAAGTCCTCTGCTACTTTTATGTCTCATGTTCTAAATATTGAGTGGAAAGTGTCCCTACTTACCCTCCAGAATCTGCACGTATGAATCGTACAGTCTTAGACAAAGTTATGATAGAAGTATCTCTCCTTTGAGAAAATAAATGATTGAGCAACACACAAAAAGTTAAGTGAAAAACTTTTCCTTTTCTTTTAAAATATCTTATGTGGCATCCTTGGAGGAGCTGATAGAAGAGCAACAATATGACAAAATGATTAATCATTATCATAACTTTCATTTGCTTTTGTTAACTATTACAGAGCAAATACGAATTAGTCCAGACAACACAATCACGCAGAGAGAATCAAAGTAAAGACAGACTTCAGATATTAAACTAGGGAATAGGCAGCAGAAGTAGAGAAGGAGAAAAGTGGGATAGAAGAAACTGAAGGGGGGAGGAGAGTCGAGCAAAGAGTGAAGGAAAGCCAGGGCAGCTAACCTAACCTGAAGTGACATAAAAGAGTAAAGAGCTTGTATGTGCGCATGCATGTGTATGAGTAAGTGTGTGTGTGTGTGTGTGTGGATGGCAGTCTGAGTGCACATTTGTGCATGTGCGTTAGTGAGACACCAGACTGTGCTCTGTTTTCTTCAGTCTTGTCACGCAACGTTCCTCAAAGCCCCGCCCTCCTTCCACTACTGCACTTCCTTAGTGTGTGTGGAGTCCTTCTGACCCACCAACCAACCAACACACACACACACACACACACACACACACACACACATCTGAGACATGGCCTATTTTAAATGACTCTCAGGCTAAAGTGATTACTGTATAGTTCGCATTGGATGGGGCATGTTTTAGCCCTTTAATGTGCTGTCAATGAATTACAGGGATCACCTTAATCTGACCCTCCCTCTTCTGAGCTAAATCGCCTATGTGGGCACACAATACCATTGATGCAAGATACAATGCCCCTAATCTCTATCACAACCTCACGGGGTTATTTGCAGTATGGATCATCAGTGAGACACTACATGACAGGACACTGGAATCAAGGGCCTGCATCAGCCTGATCAAGTGTCGGCAGTGAAAAGGCCTGTACATTTCTGTAACTCCATCCATGACGTGCGAGACAGAACTGATGGAGAAGTTTAGTGGTTTATACATTCATTTATTATCTTTTATCTCTGAAAAACTTAAGAAGCTTTTTGTTCAGAAAAACCAAACTCGTCAAGAATCAAAATCAAGTCCAATTGCTCTCGTACTTCTTGATATGATGGCCGAGAATCTTCACTTATCTTTTATCTCACAACACTGAAAACATGTTAAAATATTTCAGTCAAACAAAACACGATACGTTTGCCCAGAAAAATTAACTCCTACTGGGAAAAAAATAACCCTGAATTGTTTTTAAAAACAGAAAAATAGTAAAATACAC